GATCACTCCTTTAGTATGAAAAAAGTAAGTACAAATGAATCTCTTCTGACATTTGTTTACTTTGCGCAATCTCACCCTGTTGCCAGAGTTATTTGCATATTTTAATAAAAACACATTTTCCAGGACTCTCTACTGGCACTAGATGACTATTTCCGATAATGATAGTGATTTCTGGCTGTGTATGAAACACAAAAACCCTCTTAGCGCTTTAAACATCAAAGTTGTATGTTAGGCAGGATGCAACTGGGACCAGGAAGAATTAAATTTCACAACTGCACACTTCAGACAAATTAAATGTAAGTCTAAGTAAACCCACAAGGTGCAATGTAAAGCCCTCACCTGTGCTTAGTAGAGCATGTTGAACACCACGTCTCTTTTGTTCTATAATGATTCATAAGCTCGCTGCTGCGTCATTTAGCAATTAAACCTATAAAAGATCATTTTTAAGTACTGTGCACTCAAGAATCAATACCTACGTGTTTAGAATGAACAGTATCTCTTAATCCTTTTCGAATTTATCTTTGGCTAGTTTTTCAGAAATCATTGTCAAAGTCACTTGCTCTTCTAGTCATAAACAAACACCAACTAGATGTGAAGTGCCAATTGGAAACACAAAGTCTCCTTGCTGTCACCTAGAAAGCCTCTTCACAGCCTCCCATTTTCACAGACTGGAACCGATAATCATCCAGTGATGTGCAAGAATGAATCGGGAATTATTTACTGACTCATCCTATCATTAGTGTGAATATTACACTTCAAACTTCCATGCACTGACTTTATTTTGAGGAAGGTCACAAGAATTTAGTAGTAAAAGAACACAACGTTGTTATACAATAACGAGCAGATATGACATAAAGGCTAATAAAATGTGGACTGAGGATAGGTCTTCATTTGTGATGGGTTTTTGTAGAGGGCAGGGACACTACAACAACAGTCAATAATTGCATGTTGTCCTGGGTGCAATATGGACCATTTGAGCCACAACCTCCTAACTGCAATTTCACAGGAAGACACCGTGAATGTTTGATTTTCTAAATGAAGGCTTTCAGCTTTCTGTCATGGCTGTGTGCATTGACTCAGTATAAAATGCAGCGTTTAGTGAAGCTGCCCATGCGAGAAATGTGTTAATTAACAGTGTGCCCGACTCAACACTTTCTGTGCTGAATGGAACTCATATCTAAATTGTTACTTACAAACCTGTCACAGAATGATTATAAAGTTATTTTTCTACTTCTATGATTGACTGAGACTTTCAGCAGTACAGCATAGGCCCACTTGCTACAAAGTTAGGAACGTTATATTATATACTATAAGAATACACTTCAATCCAGGATGTACACTGTACAGCAGAAAACTGCTGAATTTAAATGATGGGATCAGGTAGTTCGACCAGCCACTAAAAACATGACTCACCTATAGAAAGCTCAAATGGTTTTTGCTTCTTTTATGAAAGAGTGTGCAATCCATTAAATTGCATGTTCATTAAAAGAAACATCTTTATTTTAGGGCTAGGTTATAACTCAATGTTAATATGGAAGTACATCATGACGGTCTGTTATCGGGCCATATCTACCTCAGCTTTGAGTTATTTCAAACATTCCCCCGCCCCCCCCAAAAAAGAAAATATATAGGAGGGTTTCCTGTTCCTTATTTCTTTTGGAATAGCGAGAGCACAAGCACTTCTTCCACACAACAAGCCTTGTGGCTATTGTTCAAAAATAAATTGTTGTCCCTCTGTTTTCTATTTCTTCTTGTGTGACATCCGTGGGTCACTGCAATTTGGAAAGTCTAGATAGAAACCCTTCGTCTTTGATTCTGTGGAACTGACATGTGTATCGACTGAAACAGTTAACCTGGTTTGAAAAGATCTTTCCAACGAGCTGACCTGAAATATACTGAACACAGAGATTCAAACTACCAACAAATTCAGTAATGGTGGGTATTTAAACATTAACAGCCAATATGATTTCCGTTATCATGCACTCAACATTTAAACATATAGTTGTAATGTCATTTTTCAACGATATTTGGCAGAGTATATAAAGGTAAAATGTGTCTTGTTGTTCTTTGTTCAGTTTCGAGACGAAAATACTCTGAAATGCTTTCATGCCAAGCTAGTTGATGAAAGGAAAGCACCAGGGAGCTAACAGCGTAAAGCAGCTGACCTAAACACAGAGAGGCACCATAACTCCCTCCCATGATCCACAAACTAGGTCGTTGGATGTTCCTTAATTAAAGTGTTTCAATATACTCTATGTCATTCTCTAGAGAGAAGCACTTGAGTTGAACGGATAGAAGATAATGCAGGTATATGTTAGATAGTTTGCATCACACAGTGGCTAAGTAATGCAATAAAGTATATATAATATATAATAATAATAATAATAATGACACAAAGGACAAATTAAGAGGCTGGTTACTTTCACTCAATACAATATATCTAGGTGATAGTGTTTGAAGCTTTACATTTACAGTCTATAGATTGGCCCCGATGGTGTGCTGCACGTCAACCAAGAGCAGTGAGAATTGTTACGGTTGACAGGTTGCAGTTGTGATTGGCAGAGTGCTGAAGTCATAGGGTCCGAGGGACACAAGAGGTCAGCATGTGAGAGAAACATTAGATGTTCCCCATCGACAGCCGTCAGGAGCAAACTTGAAAATGCCTGTGTCAATCTAAAACTGTAGAGCTACTGTTTCTAAAGATCAAGCTTCCATGACAGTCATTTTGGTTGTAATTATTACATAAAACATCAACAGAGAGATGATGTCAATGAATGATGTCATGCTTATATGGGTCAGTGTTATAGGTTGCACGGATCAGCTGATCATGTCTTCTGTCTACTTTTAGTGGACACAAGATATTGGATCAGTGTTCGATATGATACAAGTCATTCCTTTATTGCCACGCAAAGTAATGCTTTCTTGGAAGGAGATATGAATTGCCCTGTCAACGTGCTGGATTGCTTAGTCTCGGTTTCAATAGCTCGTTAGCTTCCCATGATATTCTTTTAGCTTGACAGCAGCTGTACACTGACAACAAGAAGCTCTAAATGTGTTTCTTTAAATGATTAAATGGAAGATTAATAAATATAGAGGGCAGTATTTTGTAGACGGGAAAGTATTAATACTGGCATTAAACCTTAAAGAGCCACTATGGTGAAAATCACCAGAGTGGCTCTTTGTTTCAGAGGAGAGTCACTGTGTGGCATCTGGGAGTGATAAAGGATTATAATGCTTTAGAAAACAACAAGATTACTTCAGCAGGCTAATGGATAGCAAATGTGACCGCGTATTAAATACTTATACGCCTGGAGCAGCGACAATGCTACTTGGAGAGGATTAATCTTTTGCTAGCAAAAAAAAATCACAGAGGGCATTGTTTTTAACTTTCACTACTAACTGCTCTTACTGGACTGCAGTTGTTACAATCTTTTGATTATGTGGGTGAGAAGAGGAGGAGGAAAGTGGAGATAAGAGTAGTTGTTAACACACTAACAATGTTTTACACAGGCAAATAAAAAGCAAACAATAAAATTAAGCACAGGTTTACAAGTTTAGGCTTGGTGTATGGTAGGTAAAAATGAATGAAAACACTCATAAGGGATAGGCTACTCTAGTAAACAACTGTCAGTTCAAATACAGTTACGCAGATTTTATGTCAACCATTGAAACCCAACTGACAGAATTTGAATACTATAGTAAAAACGTTTCTGTCAACTACAGCAATTGGTAAATGAAAATTTCTATTTCTATAAAGTCTATTTATCCATCAACAATCATTTGAATATCAAAAACATTGTCAATTTATGTTAAACTGTTTGGGTAACGATTTGAGTCTTGAGAAGAGGAAATTAAAGTACTTTTAAAGATTATATAACCGTTAAAAACGTTATTGATGTGCATAAATTCATCAAGTCAATTAATCATTTAAATATTAAAAGACCAACATTAGCTAGCAGATTTTCTTTGTCTTATTCTAAGTATATGAATTCAGAAATAATCGGTAAACGATAACAATGTTGCCGTTATATTCTGTTGTCATGCCATACAGCAACATGACAGAGAAAAAAATGTCTGCGTTTACAACAAAGACGAGTTGACAGTGAGCAGAGAAGAAAAGTGACAGTGAGGATTAAAGTAACAACACAAAAGCAAATAAATACAATATAAATTATGGCTAAAGACGCAAATTATTACTTAGGCAGATTAAATAAAAATTCTAAAAGACGTTACGCTACTTTTTCCAAAGTAAAATAACCGTTAAAAACGTTACTGAAGTGAATAGTCAAGTCAAGTAATCATTTCAATATTTTAGGACCAATATTAGCAAGCAGATTGTCTTGTGTTTTATTCTAGGAAAATTAGGGATTTTGACTGGTGTAACATGAAAACAAAGGAATCTGATGGCATCTTCTTTAGGGAAATAGTGATGGACATTTCCATTAAAATGTCCATCAGACGATACATGTATGAATACAGAAATAATTAGTAAACGATAAAGAAAATAATGTTACCGTTATATTCTGTTGTCATGCCATACAGCAACATGACAGAGGAAAAAAAGATCTGCGTTTACAACAAAGACGAGTTGACAGTGAGTGGAGAAGGAAAGTGACAGTGGGGACTAAGGTAACAACACAAAAGCAAACACAAATATGTTATCACTCGAGTCAATAAGTTATGGCAAAAGACACAAATAATTATTGAGGCAGATTCAAGAAAAATTCAAAAAACGTTTGGGTAACGTTCCATTTTCAAACGTTAGCCGTTCAAACCGTTTAAAACATGATTCTAACGTTAACGTTACTGCGTATTTGATGTCAACCGTTAAATAGCCCCCAAATAGTTAGCAACTGACAATGTTAGCTAAATTAGCTAGCGTCCCCGTAAATCTCAGTAAGGGGTTAAACATAATCCAGGTTAAAAAACACCGTTGTCATAACGTTACACAGTGCAGATGGAAAATATCTTGGCATTTCCAACAAAGAAAACCCACTCACCATAGTAAGATGAGCGGGTGTCCGTCTTTCTAGCCATGGCACTTGGTAGCACAAATGCAGCGTCGCCTTGGTTTTGGAGACCGCATATGAGAGTCGAGTTAAACTGGAGTTTATTTTAGTGCCTTTCAACAGTCCCGTCGAGAAATAAACACAGGAACCTGGAGAGGTCTGGGGCGCGAGGATGCTTCGGCCACGCAGCTGAGCGTCAGTCGTGTTTACAGCGCGACGTCATTAATTATTCTTAAAGGGGACGTGCACCCTCACTGCTGCTGCTGGATGTCCTGTTTCCCTTTGTTAGGATGTAATTTAAACATCAACGTTTTTGTGCAGTTTGTCTTATGACATGAAAATGTGTAGGATGTATATAAAGGATTGCAAAAGATCAGAGGGGTTAGTGAGCCTGTGTCTGCCAGAAGAGTGGTGATAGCCCGGTTGCTTTTCGGTTGATTAATAATACAAACAACATTGCAGGTAGGCTAGTATTTTTAGGAGGCAGTGACATCTCTGTCCACACCGAGGCGTCCAGTGGATAAACACTGACCCCAGCTGGGCATTCTTAGATATTGAAAATATATTCTCTATTTTGGCTTCCCTTTTTAATTTCAACAGTGGTATTATTTAAAAAATAAATTAAAAAATGTATATGAATCTCCTTCGAATTCGTCCCACTTGTTCTGGTTGTCAATATAAAGTAAAATCTCACCTGGAATCACATAATGACAAATGTATACAATTAATAATTATAATAATTCAGGTATAAATTCCCATCTAAACAGATGCAACAAAACTAAGAAGAGGGCAAGAGAGATGTCAATATCTTACAAAGCACATTCTTTACATGCCCATCTGTTAATGATCCATGTGCATGTTGTGTACTGCCTTCCTTTAAGTGCAGGCAATTATAATATTACTCACAGAGCGCAGATACAGTAGGCCCTCTTAATCAATTACTATTAAATGTGAAGCAGTAAGAAGTGTGTGGGTGATTCAGGTTGCTCTCACTTACTAATACAGTTGCTATTATTGTGTATTTCCAACTGCACATCCTAGAGAATGTTTACTTTTCTGCAAAGTATATGTAGATGCCCAGGAAGAACTTAAATCCCTTTTTAAACTGAGATAAAGTATTAGTCCCAGAACACAACAACACCCAATAAGAGAAGTATTTGCTTTACATACCTGCATTTATTCACAGACACACATTGATTACAGGGTTTGAGAGTCCACTATTTTGACTATGACCAGGACGTGGCAGCAGAGACTTAATATTCTGCCCAGTAACCGGGGATCCTGTGAGTTGAGCTGTGGGGTGAGATTTCCTCACAGTATCAACAAAGCAAGATAAAACAGAAGCATGTTTTATCTGTGGCAGTTTTCCGCAAAAGGGATTTAACCTGAATGCTGCCTGAATAATATTTACACATCGCCAAACATTATCCCTCTATAACGACAGAATATCTAAAACATTAACACTTCAAGCATTTTAATGTAAGATTAGATTATAAATGGGACAGGTCATTTCTATTGCACTCTGACATCCAAAAAGTGATGTCTCCCCTAGTGCTTTCTGGGTGAAAGTAATGAGATCTGAGGCTGCCAAAGGCCAGTCATTAAGAAGGGATTGACTTTTCCCGAGACAGATCATATGTTGATGTGGCAGGATCCCTTCCAGTAGCACAGGGAGAATCAGTATCACATTATTTTCCAAGTGCAATACGGTTAATGTACAACAATTTGTCTTGGTGACACAGGACATTGGTTTCAACCGTTTATGGCCTACAATAGTGTGTCTGAATTGGAAGGCTGTGACACATCTTACAATAGAAAATACAGAGACAAAACAACATAAAAGGACTGATTTTTTTGTATCAGTCCTACTGTGTACATTTCAGGAAAATTATAATGCATCTTTTGAACTTCTGTTAATCGATGATTATTGCAGTTGGTTTTGATGCTATTAATAGTACCAGAGCCAGATGGACCCTACAATTTATAGCTCAGTTTGAAACATGCCTGCTGTTGTGTGGATTTCTACATTATTAGCAGTGATGGCGTGTTATATCTTAACGTAGAAACCTTACTAGTTAAAGGAGAAAAATAGGTTGATATAGTTGGGAACCTTTTAATCCATCTACCTTTGTTCTTTTGCCAATTTATTTCCATCTGTCTAATAAAAGGGTCTTTACAATACCCTCCTGGGACCCGAGGAAAAAAAGTGTCTTCCAATTTCCGCTTTTTTGTGATTTCCTACCTATTAAGGGTTGAAAAAACATCTTGCAATTTAGACTTTTTAAATTTAATTTAATTTTTAAATGTTACAGTATGTCCACTGTAGAGGACGTCGGGACCATTTTAGTTTGGAAAGACAGCCAACAATGAACAGATAGACTATGTAACGTATTATGGTTATAGAGTGATATTAATACAAAAATACATTCACCTTTATTTAAAACATCAATAAGTAATTGATCTGAGCATTGCTGTTTATTTGGTCACTAAAAAACTAGTTTGGTTTTTGGTGAATCTTTCCAGATCTTCAAAGACTTTGTAGTCAATGTAGTGGGAAGTACCTCATTGACTCCAGTTGGAACGGCTGTAGGGTCATCTTGACTAGTTTTATGGATGTGGTCTCCATTTGACCTGCTCATAAGAAACCAAAGCTTGCATTCCGTGAGGCAATCTCATTTTCCAATGCTCCACTTTAAAAATAAAAAATACAACCAATAACACATATGTTCTACTCTTGGGCCCACAGAGGCCATGTCTTTCCAGTCTCGTCCCTATCGTGTCTCTCTGTCTGTATCCGTGCGGCTCATGGAGCTCCTGCATCTTTCCCCCCTTCCTCTTGACCCTCTTCTATCCCAGGTTAAATCCTCATCTCTCTCATATCTGAGAGCTCATACATCTGAATCTCCGTCTTTGAACTATCTGGTTATCAGTAAATATATCTGCTTCCAGTTCCGTCTCCTGCCAACAATATTGAGTCATTAAAGTCCATGAAGATGGTCCTGACGTCCACTAGGATGGACAATACAAAAGAGCTTGTTATTTGAAAATCTTGAATATTTAATTCTATCATATATCTTTAATATTTGTAGTTCCTCACATGTTAATAAACAAGACATATATGATTTTCATGTAAAAATTACAATTATTCATACAATATTTGACTTCTCCTCCTGCTTCTAGTAACATTTGTTAATGGTTATGCCAGCCATTTTTGATGAAAAGAAGGAGGAACTTCCCAGCATGCCCCCCATTTTAACCAATGACCATATCACTGGAAAGACCAGATGTCCTCTGTACAGTACATCAGAGATTGATAGAGTAGCTCAAAAGAGTAAAAGGAGATGCCATGTTAACAAGCTGGGTCCCAGGAGGATACAGGCCTTATGTTATGCATGTTAACAAGGTCAATCAAAGTGTGTGCTCTTTGCCAGCCAGCAGTGGGAATGTTCACTAATCCTGCATATAAATTAGCAAGCACAATAACACATTTCTTAGGTCAATGTATTTTCCCTCTAAGGGAATGACAGTATTTGCATAGTTGTCAGTCCAGTCTGCTTGTCATTCAGGGGGAAATGATGGATGCCCAACAGCTTGCTTAATTATATAATCGCGAGGGGACAAACAGATGCAGCAAATTTTGTGCTGATTGCGCTGCAGCTCTCTGCCACTTTCTGAAACCAAAAGACCATTTATTTTCCCTGTGACGCTGTTCTTCAGCAGTTTGGTAAGGAGGGAATTGTTTCTTGATTAATCGGGATCTATATATAATGTCTTTTAACACCATTCACCCGTTTTCATTTCTATTCATTGCTGCAGTTGCCAATCAAAGCCTGCTCCTTCATATATATATTATCTCTCTCTTCTCTTCTCTATTCCATCATATATATAATGTATCTTTTATATATATCTATCTATCATACATCACAGCTTGAAACGAGTAAACAGAGATACAAAGTGCTTTCGGTACTTGGAGGGCTTTTCTTTTCTTTCAATCGATTGGATAAACACAACACTTCTGAGAAAACAGAAAATTGCATCTGTGATGTTGGTTTCATGTGCTCGATGAGGTCCTAATGGTCTGTGAGATTATGGAAATCTCTCGAATTGCAGAAATAGAGAGAATGATGAGAGACGGTTTTTTATCGCGTGTAATAAAAATGGTTTCTTAAATGTACCTACCTTCGTCTGCCTTGTGAAGGTGTCACAGCTATAAGCCATTTTGATGTAAGTATCGGTGAAGCGAATATACAGTTCACCAAATTTGTGCACCTGTTTCATGCTCGTCGTTGCTATGTGGCTTTGTAAATAGTAATGTATATCATTTTCGAATTGTGTTTGGATATTGTTCAATTGAGTTTTTAATCGTATGTAGTAGTGTGTTTTTATGTTAATAGAATATAGTAGTCCTTCCTTTAGTCCTTAGTTAATTACTCGTTAGTGAGAGCATACTAAATTGTTAGTATCATGTCGCCTATATAGGAGACCAATATCTCTCTCTCGTTAATATAGTGTCATACTCATCATTTTTGAGGGTGTGATATAAATAGTATTGTGGTTGGTGGTTAGTGATGTTCTTTGTAGTTGAGTTATTTTCTACTCTAGTGCTTTTAAGGCAAATGTAATTGATATATTCATCTTTATGATGATAGTTTTTATAATTCCGGTTATGAGGGAGGATTATACGTATATAATCTGATATTAGGTATCTTCATTTATTTGTTGTGTTTTTTTGTTCTCTCAAGAAGTGTAATATGAGCGAGATTTATTCTTGACATGGTCTGCATTATCATGTCGCCAGTGATGTGTTTGGGTGTATTAGTGATTGCCCACTGTGACGATAATAGCCTTTAAGATGCACTTCACTATTGCATGGGACTTTTAGTCTTTTTGTCTTTTTTCTATCCTATGGATCGCCCAGAGGCTATATTTCATAGTTCAAGTCTTGTTGAGAGCGCGAATAATGGGTTAGATAATTATGAATGTAAACACTTTTGTCTCATGTATCTTAACATAAGGTGCTCAGATACTGATCACACTTGTATTGTATTTATTGCTTCTCTGTTTAATGCGTTAGGCAGACAGTGTGCCATACGTGGGATTACTAATTTGTTGGATTTTAATTAAAAGAGTTTTTTCTTCCGATTGCACTTCACGTCATTTATTTTGGGTTTTCTATGATTTGTGTATG